ATTTGATGTTCACTTAGGCAAGCTATTGTACAGTTATGTAAATTTCATGAACAGAGCCACTACTCGAGTGTCTTAATTACAAGCAAAAAGTGTAATTTAAATATGAATAAGTGAATAGTTGTCTGTATTTCCTGTTTACATTTTCCTGTCATCTTAAAGACAAAAATTAACTAGCCATCTATGTTGCATCTTCTGTCTCTAAAATGAAAAATAATTCTTGTATACATTTAAAAAAGGAGAAAAAATTAGAAATGTCCCAGTCTTTACAGTGATTAACAACATGAATTTTAATGTAGCCAGACCACAATGTGTGTGTATATATAGAGTATTTTTGTTTTTAACTAGTTTGTGTAGTTTTTTCTGCATTGCTACTATACAGATTGCATAATTTAAAGAAAATATAATTTCTATATAAAATACTTTAGTCCTTTTAAACTTTCAGACAAGACTGTTCAAGGTTTATTTTGCATGCATATATTTTTAGTGCTAAGAGAGAGCATGAATTTCTTTTATATATAAACAGTGGTGTTATATAGTGTTCAAAATAGTTTTTTCTATATTCATTTATAACCATCATAAATGAAATTTATGTAACAAAACATTTATAGCATTATTCCCTCAATTTTTAGACCAAATTCCCTACGTTCCTATCACATGTAGACAGTCTTAAATTCCCCCCCCCCATTGTTTTGAATGTTTGTGTGTCTAAAAATGATCTAGAAATAAATCTGTTATTAATCAGTATCAACAAGGGAGGGATGATTAGTTAATAAAAAACATGCCTCATTTCTGTGAACCAAACAGCTAATTCTGGTTCTCAGTATGTACAGAAGCTCCTGAAAGAATATTCCCATCCTTCAGTGATGTAGCTGCTGCTCTCCCCCAGGAATGAGAAGTTCACTATTCATTCTGTGCTTGCATCATCCTTTCCAACATGTTCCCACTGATACATTAAAGGAATTAATTGCTCATAATGATCTCACCATCTGTTAACAGAGGTTCATACCTACAGGCTGGTGGCATGTGGTGGTCCTATTCAGAAATCAATAGGCAATGCTGGGGGAACGCTTTCCCACATTGCCTTCCATTGCACTTTGAAAAGGGGAGGAGAGCTCAGTGTTGGCCATCTGCTCCTTGTCTTTCTGTGAGAGACCTTGATGCAGTCCAGCACAGCTCTGATCTGACTCCAATCTGATTGGAATGTGGCTGATCTGAGAGCCTCTCAAAGCTGTGAAAGTGAGTCAAAAGGAGATCCCCATTGTCCAGAATGGCTGAAAGAAAATGATCACTTTAAAATTCATAACTCCCAGGTGCCTGCCATCTATTCATGGGAAAAACTCTCTGAACTTCTCTTCATTAAAAAGAGAGGGAGTTTTGCTAAAAAGAGAGAAAAGGAAGTAGTTTGTGGGAATGTGCAGGGGATTTCAGGCTAAACAAATGAGGAATGTGGATTTTTTACTCTTAGTAAAAGACCCATGTAAGGAAAGGGAAGCATTTGTAAAAGCAGGGCCTGTGTGCTAGAGGCCCTTCCCTGGGGCACTATAGCAAAATAAAAAGGGACTTTTTTTCTCTAGGGAGTTTTTTCCCCCTCTTACCTGTTTGAATGAGGATAGGAACAGTATATGAACAAAGTCTGTTCTTACTTTCTTTGACATCCAAAACTAATTCATTCTCTCTCCTCCTCCCTTTTTCCCTATAATTTGTTTTGGTTGCCTATAACGCTGACTTGACCATGGACACATGAAACATCAATATGTGTCCTTATAGGGCACTGTGCTTTTTGGCGGGGGGGAGGTGAACGTGGCACATTCTTTCGGCCTGCCGTCAAAACTTTCCCCTCCTCCACATTTTATAATCTTTGGTGCCTGGCCTATCACAGATACCAGTGAGAAGCTCTTTGATTTCCCTCCCAGTTAATAAAACCTCCATATTGCCAAGCATTTCCAGATCCTTCCCCAATGCCCAAATACACTACATGCATTTCCAAAATCTGAACATCTTCACACAGGGCCTTAGAAAATTTCAAGTGGAATATGGTTGCTCCCTTTAGTCTGTCATAATTCTTGCCTAGGACTTTGAAACAGCTAAAGTAGAGACTGACTCCCAGAGAATAATGGGGTCAAAGGCCAGAAGGGACCATTGTGCTCATCTCATCTGACTCCTGAATAGAATCATAGAACTGAGGTCCCTTCCAGACCTACAAGAGGTCATCAAGCCCCTGTTCTGAGGCAGGATCAAGTAAACTTTGACTGTACCTCACAGATCCAATGATGGGGATTCCACAACCTCCTTAGAAGCCTGTTCTAGAGTCTAACTACCTTTATAGATAGAAAGTTTTTCCTAATATCTAACTAAAATCTAGCTTGCTGCAGATTAAGCCTGTTACTGCTTGTCCTGCTTTCAATGGATTACTGTCCACTTTGTAACAGCCCTTAACATATTTGAAGACTGTTATCAGGTTTCCCCTCAGTCTTCTTGTCTAAAGACTAAACATGTGCAGTGTTTAACTCTTCCTCTTAGATCAAGTTTTCAAAACCTTTTATCTTTTTTGTTGCTCTCCTCTAGACTCTCTCCAATTTGTCCACATCTTTCCTAAAGTGTGGTACCAAGAATTGGACACAGTACTCTAGCTGAGGCTTCACCAGTGATGAGTAGAGTAGGACAGTTACCTCTGTTTGTCTTACATACAACACTCCTGTTAGTACACCCCAGCATGATAGTAGTAGTTTTCACTACTGCATCACATTGTTCACTTATGTTCAGTTTGTGATCCACTATAACCCCCAGATCCTTTTCAGCAGTACTATCCCTAAGCCAGTTATTCCCATTTTGTAGTTGTACAATTGACTTTTCTTTCCTAAGTGTAGGACTTTGCTTTATTGAATTTTATCTTGTTGATTTCAGACCAGGTCTCCAATTTATTAAGGTAAATTTGAATTCTAATCCTGTCCTCTAAAGTGCTTGCAACACTGACCATCTTGGTGTTATCCATAAATTATATAGGCATACTCTCCACTGTATTACCCAAGTCATTAATGAAAATACTGAATAGTACTGAACCCGAGACTGACCCCTGAGGGACTCCACTAGACAAGTTTCCCCCAGTTTGACTGTGAACCACTGATAACTACCCTTTCACTATGGTCTTGCACCCAGGGTACAATCTGGACTGTTGAACAGCTGTGTCCCCTTAATTCTCTAGCCTAGGGTGCCTTTTACACGGTTTTGTTGTCAGAACCTCCACTCCTGGCCTGTTTCCACAGCCTTCAGCATGCAAAACTACTCCCAGGTATGTTACATTAATGCTTTGACCAATCACTTATGAATTACATACAGGGCCACATCTGCAAATTCCTAGTCCCAGCCTTGTCCCCCAGAAATGTGCATCTTGTACTGATCAGTATGATTCTGAACAGTCAAGCTCATAGAAAGTTCATAATTTCAAGGAAAATCATATGCACCAGCCTTATTATCCCAAATGGAGTTTCCCACACACCTTAATCCAAATATGCTGGTTAAAATAAAAAATGTAAGTTTATTAGCTACAGAAAGATAGATTTTAAGTGGTTACAAGTAATGATGCATAAAAGTCAGGATTGGTTACAAAAGAAATATAAGATAAAACACAAGCTAATGGCTAACTTAACAAACTAACAGTACCTCTCACCTTGATTAAAGAGTTCCTAATAACCTGAAGCACAAATAATTAAGCTATCCTGGGGTAAGGGTACAAGCTTGAAACCTGGGGCACTTGGTTTCAATTCCCTGCTCTACCACAGCCTGTCTGTGTGACCTTGGACAATTTTAATTGTTGTACGCCTCAGTTCCTATCTGTAAAATAGGGACAGTAGCACTTCCGTATCTCATAAGAACATAAAAATGGTCATACTGGGTCAGACCAAAGGTCCGTCTAGTCCAGTATCCTGTCTTCCAACAGTGGCCAATGCCATGTAACCCGGAGGGAATGAACAGAACAGGTAATCATCAAGTGATCCATCTCCTGTCACCAATTCCCAGCTTCTGGCAAACATCCTGCCCATCCTGGCTAGTAACTATTGATGGACCTATCCTCCATGAACTTATCTAGTTCTAATTTGAACCCTGTTATAGACTTGGCCTTCAAAACGTCATCTGGGAAGGAGTTCCACAGATTGACTGTGCGTTGTGTGAAAAAATACTTCCTTTTGTTTGCTTTAAACCTGCTGCCTATTAATTTCATTTGGTGACCCCTAGAAGGAGTAAATAACACTTCCTTATTTACTTTCTCCACACCAGGAATGAGTTTATAGACGTCCATCATATCCCCCGTGAGTTGTCACGTTTCCAAAATGAAAAGTCCCAGTCTTATTATTCTCTCCTCATATGGCAGCTGTTCCATACCCCTAATCATTTTTGTTGCCCTTTTCTGAACCTTTTTCAATTCCAATATATCTTTTTTGAGATGGGGCGACCACATTTGCATGCAATATTCAAGATGTGGGCATACCATAGATTTATAGGGGCAATTTATTTTTCTGTCGTCTTAGCTATCCCTTTCTGAATGATTCCTAACATTGTTTGCTCTTTTGACTGCCGCTGCACACTGCGTGGATGTTTTCAGAGAACTATTCATAATGACTCCAAGATCTCTTTCTTGAGTAGTAACAGCTAGTTTAGGCCCCATCATTTTGTACGTATAGTTGGGATTATGTTTTCCAATGTGCATTACTTTGCATTTATCAGAATTGAATTTCATCAGCCATTTTGTTGCCCAGTCACCCAGTTCTGAGAGATCTGTTTGTAGCTCTTTGCAGTCTGCCTGGGACTTAACTATCTTGAGCAAATTTGTATCATCTGCAAATTTTGCCACCTTACTGTTTACCCCTTTTCCCAGATCATTTATGAATATATTGAATAGGACTGGGCCCAGTACAGACCCCTGGGGAACACCACTATTTACCTCTCTGCATTCTGAAAACTGACCATTTATTTCTACCCTTTGTTTCCTATCTTTTAACCAGTTATCAATCCATGAGAGGACCTACCTTCCTTATCCGATGACAGCTTAAGAGCCTTTGGTGAGGGACCTTGTCAAAGGCTTTCTGAAAATCTAAGTACACTATATCCACTGGATCCCCTTTGTCCACATGCTTGTTGACCCCCTCAAAGAATTTTACTAGATTGGCGAGGTATGATTTCCCTTTACAAAAACCATGTTGACTCTTCCCCAACAAATTACGTTCATCTATGTGTCTGACAATTTTGTTCTTCACTATAGTTTCAACCAGTTTGCCCAATACTGAAATCAAACTTCCCTGCCTGCAATTGCCGGGGTCATCTCTGGAGCCCTTTTAAAAAATTGGTATCACATTAGCTATCCTCCAGTCATTTGGTACAGAAGCTCATTTTAAATGATAGGTTACAGACTACAGTTAGTAGTTCTGCAATTTCACATTTGAGTTCCCTCAGAACTCTTGGACCTTACAGGAGTATCATGAAAATTAATCCATTAAAGATTGTGAGGTGCTCAGATACTATAGTAATGGCAATCATATAGGCACTTAACTAGATTGTAAGTTCTTTAGGGCAGGGACCATTTTTTTGGTAAAGAATCTAGCACAACAGGGTCCTGGTCCATGAGTATGGTTCATAGACTCTATGGTAATAATAAGTAGAAATGTCTGAAGAGTTGGGGATGCTCTCACAGTATCTCACTTGAAATTTGCTAGTGCCAGTGCTGGAATGCTAGTTTTACATTAGCCTTAATGTTAAAATGGATGACTCTCAAAGACAGTGAGGTCCACAGACTGGAGGATACAGAGGAAAAATGCAAGAAACTCAGCCCTGGTCTACACTATGAGTTTAGGTCAAATTTAGCAGCATTACATGGATTTAACCCTGCACTTGTCCACACAATTAAACCATTTTTGTTGACTTAACTGGGCTCTTAAAATCGATTTCTGTACTCCTCCCCGACAAGGGGATTAGCGCTGAAATAGACATCACTAGGTCAATTTTGAGGTAGTGTGGATGCAATTCGATCGTATTGGACTCCAGTAGCTATCCCAGAGTGCTCCATTGTGACCGCTCTGGACAGCACTCTCAACTTGGATGCACTGACCAGGTAGACAGGAAAAGCCCTGCGAACTTTTGAATTTAATTTCCTGTTTGGCCAGCATGGCGAGCTGATCATCACAGGTGACCATGCAGATCTCATCAGCAGAGGTGACCATGCAGTCCCAGAGTCACAAAAGAGCTCCAGCATGGACTGAACAGGAGGTATGGGATCTGATCGCTGTATGGGGAGATGAATCTGTGCTATCAGAACTCCGTTCCAAAAGGCGAAATGCCAAAATATTTGAAAAAATCTCCAAGGGCTTGAAGGACAGAGGCTATAACAGGGACCTGCAGCAGTGCTGCATGAAAGTTAAGGAGCTCAGGCAAGCCTACCAAAAAACCCAAGAGGCAAATGCCCACTCGGGCTCAGAGCCCCAGACATGCCACTTTTATGATGAGCTGCATGCGATTCTAGGGGTGCCCCTACAACTACCCCACACCTGTATGTGGACTCCTGCAAGGGAGTCTCACGCAACAGGGATGAGGATTTTGGGGACGAGGAAGATGATAGCGCACACCAGGCAAGCAGAGAAACCATTCTCCCCGACAGCCAGGAACTGTTCATCACCCTGGAGCCAATACCCTCCCAACCTGGGCTCCCGGACCTTGAAGGTGGAGAAGGCACCTCTGGTGAGTGTACTTTCGTAAATATAATACACGGTTTATATGCAAGCGTGTTTAAGTATTAATTTGCCCCGAAGATTTGGGATGCATTTGTGGCCAGTACAGCTACTGGAAAAGTGTGTTAACGTGTCTGGGGATGGAGCGGAAAGCCTCCTTGAAGCTCTCCTGGAGGTACTCCCAAAGCCTTTGCAAAAGGTTTCTAGGGAGGGCAGCCTTATTGCATCCTCCATGGTAGGACACTTTACCACGGCAGGCCAGTAGCGTGGAGTCTGGAATCATTGCATAAGAAAGCATGGCAGCGTGTAGTCCTGGTGTTTGCTGGCATTCAAGCAACATCCATTCTTTATCTCTCTGTATTATTCTCAGGAGAGTGATATCATTCATGGTCACCTGGTTGAAATAGGAGAATTTTATTAAGGGGCCATTTAGAGGTGGCCGTTCCTGCTGGGCTGTTTGCCTGTGGCTGAAAAGAAATCATCCCCGCTGTTAGCCACGCGGTGGGGGGAGGGGTGAAGCGATCATCCCAGAGAATTGGGTGTGGGGGGGTAGGGGTTAGTTGGGTTTGTGCTGCACATTAAAGCAAAAACATCAGTCCCTCCTTTTAAATGACAATGTGTCTTTTTCAATTTTACTCTCCCTTTTTTTCCTCCCGCAGCTGCAAATGTTTCAACGCTGCCACTAGCATCTCCAGGCCAGAGGCTAGTGCAGATCAGAAGGTGAAAAAAATGCATGTGCGATGAAATGTTCTCTGAGCTCATGCAGTCCACCCAAACTGAAAGAGCCCAGCAGAATGCGTGGAGGCAGAGTCCAGGAAAGCACAAAATGAATGTGAGGACACATGGCTGGAGCAACAGGAGAGGTGGCAGCAGTGTGATGAGAGGAGGGAGGATGCAATGCTGAGGCTACTGGAGGATCAAACTGATATGCTCCGGCATATGGTTGAGGTGCAAGAAAAGCAGAGACCGCCACTGCAGCCCCTGTGTAATCAACTGCCCTCCCCAAGTTCCACAGCCTCCTCACCCAAACACCCAAGAAGGTGGGGGGGAGGGAGAGGGCTCCAGGCACCCAACCACAGGACTGCCCAAGCAACAGAAGGCTGGCATTCAATAAGTTTTGAAGTGCAATGTAGGCTTGTCCTTGCCTCCTCCCCCACCCCTTCCAGGCTACCTTGGCAGCTATCCTCCTATTTGTGTGACAAATTAATAAAGAATGCATGAATTTGAAACAACGATGACTTTATTGCCTCTGCAAGCGGTGATCCATGGGGGGAGGGGAGGGCGGTTGGCTTACAGGGAAGTAGAGTGAACCAAGGGGGAGGCTTTTCATCAAGGAGGATGAAACAGAACTGTCACTCTGTAGCCTGGTCAGCCATGAAACTGGTTTTCAAAGCTTCTCTGATGCGCAACATGCCCTGCAGTCCTCTTCTAACCGCCCTGGTGTCTGGCTGTGCATAATCAGTGGCCAGGCAATTTCCCTCAACTTCCCCCCCCCACCATAAACGTCCCCCCCCTTACTCTCACAAATATTGTGGAGCACACAGAAAGCAGTAATAACAATGGGAATATTGGTTTTGCTGAGGTCTGACTGAGACAGTAAACTGCACCAGCGTGCTTTTAAATGTCCAAATGCACATTCTACCACCATTCTGCACTTGCTCAGCCTATAGTTGACCAGCTCCTGACTACTGTCCAGGGTGCCTGTGTATGGCTTCATGAGCCATGGCATTAAGGGGTAGGTTGGGACCCCAAGGATAATGATAGGCATTTCAACATCCTCAATGGTTATTTTCTGGTCTGGAAAATAAGTTCCTTGCTGCAGCTGTTCATACAGATCAGAATTCCTAAAGATACAAGCGTCATGTACCTTTCCCGGCCATCCCACGTTGATGTTGGTGAAACGTCCCTTGTGATCCATCAGTGCTTGCAACACCATTGAAAAGTACCCCTTTCGGTTTATGTCCCCGCTGCCTTGGTGATCCGGTGCCAAGATAGGGATATGCGTTCCATCTATCGTCCCACCACAGTTAGGGAATCCCATTGCAGCAAAGTCATCCACTATGACCTGCACATTTCCCAGAGTCACTACCCTTGATAGCTGCAGCTCAGTGATTGCGTTAGTCTGGTGGGTCCTGCGCTTTTCTTGGCGGGGAGCTAAAATGCCACCCTTTGCCCTGCTCTTGGGTGCTGAGAGTCCCGCTAGTAGCCCAGGAAGGTGGTATAGGAGGGAAGCAGGGGAGGGGTCTGGGTTTGCTCCTCACTCTGAGTCCCAGCCCCTCTCAACACCTGAGGGTTTCTTACCCTTGTCCCCCTTAGGTGGGGTTACCATCGGTCCTTAGAAGCTGTGGGGAAGGGAGTCTCCCTGTCCTGCTGGGGCAGGGTCTCCCTTACTTCAGTACTCAGGTCTTCCAAATCTCTCAACACACCTCCAAGCTCCAGTCCTCTCTCCTTCCTCCTCCTCCTCCCCTGTCTGCCTGAAGCAGAGGGTTTTATTAGGTTCCTAACAGGGCCTTGATTGACTGCAGGTGCTCCAATTAACCTGCAGCCACCTTCCCTAGTCTACAGGGGACCATGCCGTAATTAGCCTTGAGCTTATATATTTCCCCTCTAGCAATCTCCCACTGCTTCCTGGCCCTCCTGTATCACTCCTTGGTACTGTGGATGCACTCTGCTGACTTAATGCGCTTAGTGGGGGACACACACAATTGACTGTATAAAATAGCTTTTTAAAAAAATCGACTTCTATAAATTCGACCTAATTTTGTAGTTTAGACATACCTTCGGTGACTTTGCTTTATAGGGTCCTTCAGGTTTTTTCAGTCTTGTATATGAGATTCACATTGGATTCCAGGTTTAAATGAACTCCATAGAAAACATTTTGCCCTTGTTTAGGTCAAGACCATGTACAATTTCTAAATTTCCCCACTACTCTCTATACTGGTCTCTGTGTGTGTGTGTCTCTCTCTCTCTCTTGCTGTTTTATGTGCTAGGAGGGGTAGTGGCCTGCAGACTCCCTCCCTCTTCTGATGTTTCTGACAGCAGGTGGTTGTTTGCCTCCTCTCCCCCTGTTCTTTGTGGGATGTTGATTGATCTCCTTCCTCTTCCTGACATCATTGGGGAGGAGAGTGGCTGACCCTGCTCTTCCTTCTTGAGGTGTTTGAATTGGGAGGAAGTCTGGGAAGGTCAACTTGTTCACTCACCACAATCACCCCACAGATATCATAAGAGGAGTGGGCTATCACTCCTCATCATACTAGTCCAATTGGGTAGTACTGGAAATCTCAGTGAAGAAATCACACAGAAATGTAGGGCTGGAAGGGACCTCAGAACTCATTTAGTCTGTCTCCCTTGTACTGAGACAGGACCAATAAACCTAGATCATCCATGACAGGTTTTTTTATAATCTGTTCTTAAAAACCTCCAATGACAAGAATTCTACAACCTTCCTTGGTAACCTGTTCCAGTGCTTAACTATTCTTTGCTATTAGAAAGTTTTTCCTCGTATCTAACTTGAATCTCCCTTGCTACAAACAAAGCTGATTACTTCTGGTCCTACTCTCAGTGGACATGGAGAACAATTGATCACCATCCTTTTCCTTTTTAATATTGGAGGATTTCATCCTGGGCCCTCCTCAGCCTTCTGTTCTCCAGATTAAATATCCTCAATTCTTTCAATCTTTCCTCATAAGTGATTTTTCCCTAAACCTATTTTTGTTGCTCTCCTGTAGACTCTCTTCAATTTGTTCCCTTTCAGTTAACTGAGGTTTGATTTGTTTTAACTTGTTTTTCTTAGCCAACTCAGCAGAAGTAAGTTCCTCAGAGGAATTTGAATACAATGAGATTTTATTTGAAAAATATTGTGAAATTCAGTTAAATCTGCCCCTTATATATTTACATGTTGATAGTGGAATTAATATCATGTGCACAACATTAATTTTAGAATTTCTGGAATTTTGAATGTCCCCATAACATTCTCTTAGGAAATTTCATACAAAAGAATTATGTTAAGTCTCTTTAAAAGAAAAGGATAAAGGGGAGGCAGGAGAGAGAAAGAAGAAAACATAAAAAGGAGTTTCACCCTCTCGGACTCCAGAAATTTTCTGGTCTGTGTAAATATCACAGAGTGGAACTCTATGGTCAGATACCACCAGACCACCCTATTCAGTTCGCCTTTTGATGTCTGCAGGAGGGAGGCTCTGTCCTGTATATATCTCGGTAAGTCCTCAGCAGAGGACCCATCTCCTGTGATCTTCAGCAGCTGTGCAAGTAACTATGAACCAGATTTAAATGTTTAAAGATGTAGACTAGGCAGCTAGTGGGACTTTCAAAAACATCTAAGCAGGTTAGGTGCCTAATTCCCTTTGTGCCATATTTTTAAAAGTGTCCACTAATCTTGAGTGCTTCCATTTTCATGTACCCAGTTGAGACATGTAAGGCTTAATATTCAGAGGTGCTGATTGCTCACAGGTCCCACTGACTTCAGTTGTCTGAAAGGCGGGCTCTTGGCCAAAACTTTCAAAGGAGGCTGTTGGTTTTGGATGGCTCAACTTCTGAGTGCCCAGTTTTAGAGTCTTGTGGCTGATATTTTAAGGTGCTGAGTATCCACAACTCCAACTGACGTGAATGGGAATGGCAAGTACTTATCTCTGAAATTTAAGTCTAGGTTGTCTGAAGTTGAAGCACCTAAAATTAGCAGCCTATGTGAAAATTTGCACCTTTGTGTCTTCCTCATCCATGCACCTCCTAAGGCACTTCACAGCTTACAGTGTAGGCAGCAGCACTACCTAACTCTTTCACATCCTTTTATTCTTCCCTAGCTGCACGCTTCATGAGCTGTGAAAATGTGTTGCATATTCTTGGTACGTGATTTTCAAAGGGTCATAACTTGGTCAAATCAAAACCAATTTTGTCTGGTACACACATCACATTTCAATTTTCAATCTCAAGCCATTTGTCAGATCTCATGATTCTTATCACAAGTCTCATAGTGATTTGGTGGTTTTCTTAAATCCCCAAAGCTTGGAGTCACATGATTATTTGAGAATCTCAGCTTTCATTTTTTAATTTCTAACCTGTGAAGGTTATGGAGAAATGCTTGCAAATGCAAATCCTAAAGTCACACCAGAAGGTTTATAGTAACATCCAACTTATTAAACAAAAATCTCCTGATTTTTTTTTAATCCAATCTGATTTTTGGGGGGTGGCTGATTTATGATATTTTTATTTTATGTTAATGCTTTGATTTGTCAATAGGGTGTTTTGGCTGTGAAGCTGTGTAACATGCTAGTAGTATTTGCCTTGCCTGAAATACACCACCCAGTTAGCAGATGTTGATCCTGCTGGGAGAGGGTTTGGTAGGTTATGGCAACTCCCCAGGTAACTCATTAACTCTATTAAAGATAAGGAGAGGAAGTGGTTCTTTAGGGTGTGGGCTCTGCAGTTCCGCAGGAAGACTCTAAGAACAGCTAAACTTGGGCAGAAGACTATTTTTGTTTCTTATAATAAAGCCAAAACCTAGGGAGGGGATGTGTTTGGAGTTTAATAACTGTATGTGCTGTGTTTTTAAGAGCAGGTTGAGAAAGCTGCAATCTGTTTAAAAAATAGTTGAAATAATTTTTTATAATGGGGAAAACTATTTTCTTCTTACTCAATCTGTTGAACCATTTTTTGCCCATACTTCTGGAAAAAATCAACCTGGGCCAGACATAAAATCTACAAAAATAATAATAAATAATAATTAATTCACTTGAGTGATAAAAGTTTCAAAAAGTTATAAGCAAATGAAAACATGAGGTTAGACTGTAAACATTTTTATAAACCTTAACTAGGAGACGCCACTGACATTTGTGCTCTTTACACTTTTCTATAGTATGTTGGGGCTGGGATGCGGGGCCACTGATGCTATTGCTATTGACCCCATTCTTCTTATTTTTTGGGACAAGTGCAAAGAAATCATATTAATTCCAGACAGAATGAACTATGAAAGATTCTTAGGCCTCTGTTTATTTTTGGGCTGTATCAGTGAGGAGACTGGCAAAATACAATGATGATGCTAATTTCAATTTGAAGATTCTTCTTATTCTGTATTATGATTGTGCTAGATGTTGTTCAAACATAGGGCCAGCTTGTGACCTGCTGTACATGTCTATGCAGGGGCTGGCAACATATGTTGGGAGTAGGAGAGTGGGAGGGAGAGTAGCCTGTG